ATCTTCTGCAGTTGTGAAAGCCAGGAAACTGTCGTTCCACCAAATGTAAAAACATTCCTGGTGGTGCTCCTCGATCCATCCGAGTCATTCGATGCCAGGTCTGCATCAACATGTCCCAGCAGCTTTACATTCTTCCCATCAAAACACAAAGCATTAGAAGCAGTACCTTTCAAATACCTCATGATCCACTTCACAGCTTCCCACTGTTCTTTCCCGGGGTCTCCCATGAATCTGCTCACTACTCCCACTACATGTGCAATATCTGGCCTTGTGCACACCATCGCGTACATTATGCTTCCAATTGCCGATGCGTATGGGACATTCTGCATTTGAGCATGCTCCTCCGATCCTTGTTCTTCGGTGAGTCTTCTTTGCTAAGCTTGAAGTGACTACCCAACGGTACACTTGCTGCCTTTGCATCTTGCATTCTGAATCTTTCCAAGACCTTCTGAATGTATTCTGCCTGTGAAAGATACAATTTGTCCGCTGCCTTATCCCTCTCAATTCGCATGCCCAAAATCTGCTTTGCCTCTCCAAGATCCTTCATGGAAAAACGTTCTAACAACTGTTGCTTCAACTTCTCAATCTCCTTTGAACTAGCTCCTGCAATCAACATGTCATCTACATATAATTGCAAGATAGGATAACAGTTCTCGGTCTTCTTGTAGTAGCAGCAATTGTCGGTGTGACATCTCAAGAAACTGATTTCACGCATGAAACCATCAAATTTCTTGTACCACTGCTTCAGTGCTTGCTTCAACCCGTATAAGCTCTTCACTAGCTTACATACGAGATTCTCACTGCCTTCCGCCACATAGCCCTCTGGTTGCACCATGTAAATCTCATCATTCAGATCACCATGAAGGAATGCAGTCTTCACATCCATCTGATGTAACAACAAATTCTCTGCAGCAACTAACCCCAACACTAACCGAATAGTAGTAAGTTTCACAACTGGAGAGAATATGTCAGTGTAATCAATACCATACCGCTGCTCGAATCCCTTCACAACCAGCCTAGCTTTGTAGCCTTTGCTACCATCTGCCTCCTTCTTGATGCGGTAGACCCACTTGCAGTGCAAAGCCTTCTTTCTTCTCGGTAGCTCAACTAACCTCCAAGTATCATTGGATGTGAGAGATGTCATCTCATCATCCATTGCAATTTTCCATTTGCCCTTGTCATCAACCCGAACTGCCTCTGCATAGGACTCCGGTTCACCACCATCAGTAAGCAACAAATAGAAATTAGAGGGTGAATACCTATTTGGTGCTCTCCGGTTTCTTGCAGGCCGCTGCCTTGGCGGGGTTGATGGATCCTCATCACTGCTCAACTCTTCATTTTGATCCTGCTTGCTCTCACCCGAATTAGAGATATCCAACTCCATGATCTTCGGACTTTCTTGCTCAGAATCAGATGCACTCAATCTGTCCTTGTACAGAGCCTGCTCGTTGAACACCACATCTCGACTACGAATAATCTTCCTATTCTGCTCATCCCAGAATCTGTATCCATAGTCATCACCACCATATCCAACGAATGTACACTTGACAGATTTAGCGTCTAGCTTGCTTCGATCAACGGAACTGATATGAACATAAGCAACACAACCAAATATGTGGAGATAGGACAGATTAACCTCCTTACTCGTCCACCTTTCTTCAGGAATGCCATTCTCCAATGAGATCGTTGGACTTCTGTTGATGAGAAAAGTCGCAGTGTTCACTGCATCCGCCCAAAACATCTTCGGTAAGCCACTCTTCAACCTCATGCATCTAGCCCGCTCATTCAGTGTTCTGTTCATGCGTTGCTGAACGCCATTATGCTGCGGAGTCCCCTTAGTTGTCTTCTCCATACGAACCCCATTCTCAGCACAAACAATTCTTGAACTCATGCAGTTCATACTCACCCCCATTATCTGACCGAAGGCACTTCAACTTCAGACCTGACTCTGTCTCAACACGAGCTTTCCACCTCCTGAAAGCATCAAAGGCATCAGATTTATTTTTGAGAAAATAAACCCACACCTTTCTTGTGGCATCATCAATAAAGGTCATGTAGTAGGCGGATCCTCCCAAGGATGTAGCTTCTGCAGGTCCCCAAAGGTCGGTGTGAACTAGTTCCAGCTTCTCCGGTTTGATAGCTTGTCTTCCCTTTGAGAAACTGACACGTTTCTGTTTCCTGAATATGCAGTCCTCGCATAAGCCAACCTCAACAGTCTTCGGGCCGGGCAGTTTGCCCTTCGAGCACAGCTCCTTCATCCCCTTTTCGCTCATGTGACCGAGCCGACAGTGGCACAAATTCACATCATTTGTTGCAGCGGCAACAACATCGATGCAATCCTTTGAGTTCGTTGTCATGTACAATGTACCCTCCTTCTTCCCCTTAGCAACCAGCAAGGCTCCCTTGGTGATCTTCCAATTTCTGCTGTCGAATGTAACTGCATAACCTTCCTCATCCAGCTGCCCAATTGAAAGAAGATTCCTCCTCAAACCAGGAATGTGTAGGACACCATTTAGTTTCAGCATGCATCCGTTCGGAGTCTTCACGTGGACTGTCCCCTTCCCGACAATTTTAAGAGGCTCATCATCAGCAAGATACACCTCTCCAAAATTACCGGGAGTATACTGTTCCATCACTTCAGAGCTACCACATGAATGGAACGGGGCTCCAGAATCCAGAACCCATGACTCCAACGGACTGCTCACGCTTAGAATCAGGAGATCATCACCCGATGATTCTGCCGCTGCATTGGCAGATGTCTTCTCATTCTGATCCTTGATCTGCTCCTTGCACTGGCTCTTGAAGTGTCTGTACTCCTCACAATTTCAGCACTTGATCTGACTTCTGTCCTTCTTGCCCTTGCTGTTTGACTTGGATTTGGATCTTGATCTATCCCGATTTGACTTTGACTTCGTTCTGCCCCGATTCTCTGTACTCAACGCCGATCCAGAAGCCAAACCTGATTCCTTCCTGTGAATTTCTTCGCTGACCACCAGATTTCTGACTCCATCGAATTTCAATTCCTCCTTCCCTGCCGAAGCGCTGACTGTAGTCACCGTTCCGTTCCAGCTTTCCGGGAGAGAAGACAGCAGAATTAGGGCATGAATTTCGTCGTCGAACTTGATCTCAACTGCGTTCAATTGCGTGGTGATTAAATTGAACTTGTTGAGATGCTCCACAACTCCCGTGGTTTCTGACATCTTAAAGTTAAAAAGACGCCTCATGAGATGTACCTTGTTCGCAGCAGAAGGTTTCTCATACATATCCGTTAATATTTGCAACATCTCCTTCGTCGTTTTTGCTTTGACGGTATGTAGGGCGATGTTTCTGGACATCGACAATCGCACCACGCTCATCGCTTTCCTGTCCAGCAACTTCCAATCGCTCTCCTTCATGTCTTCCGGCTTATCCTCCAGAGGTTGATACAGATCTTTACCGTACAGGTAATCTTCGATCTGCAGCTTCCAGAAGCCGAAATCAGTCCCATCAAACTGCATCAACGGTGTCTTCAAATCTGCCATCGTGTTGAACTCTCCCTTCGAACCTAGGGCTCTGATACCAGTTGTTAGGAATTTAATTTACGCACACGAAATAAAACAATAACGAAGAACACACGAAATTTGGTAACCCAGTTCACCACGAATGACTCCGTCTGGGGGTGCTACCAAGGCAGGAATATTATTGCTATTTTCGGATCCACGCACAATGATTACAAGGGAGAGAGATTGTATTTATAAAGAAGTAAATCCTAACCCCAAGGCAACTAGGATGTGTTTCCTAAAATAAATTAAGAAACGTGTTTGCAAAAATAAATTAAGGAAATGTCTCTAACACCTTACATTGTGAATGTCAAATACTCCGAAAGTAGTGATGTTTTCTTAAAAGAAAGGTATATGATTATTATTGAATTGACAAAATGAGAATACAATAAAAATGAATTAGAATCATACAAATATTACTGATGTGAGACAAATTTTGTGAGATGGATGAGAAGGAGAATGTGAGAAAATTATAAATTTATAATGGAACATATAGGGGTGGACTCGAGCCGGGAGGCCCGGCCCGGAACCGGCCCGACCCAGTCACTGTTTGAACCGGCCCGAACCGCCGGAGCGGCCAGGGACCGGTCCGGTTAGGCCCGACCCGTTGGGGTTCCAGGCCGGGCTCGGGCCCCTCAAAAGGTGAACCGGCCCAGCCGGTTCGGGCATGGTCCGGGCCAATTTATTTTTTTTTCTTTTCTTTTTTTTTTTTGAATTTTTTGTAAGTTTTTGGGTTGGGCTGGATATTTTGGGCCATTTGAGGTGGTTTGGGAGTGAGGGGGAGGGTTGGGGGTTAATTAGGAAAAGCCATATATATATATATATATATATATATATATATATATATATTGAACCGAGGCCCGGCCCAGCCCGACCCGAACCCGGGGGTTATCAGGGCCGGTTCCGGGCCTCCTTTTTCATGATCCGAGGCCCAGCCGGGTCCAAGCCCGAACCGGCCCGAGTCCACCCCTTGGAACGTAGGAATTGTCAACCTTCATTTATATCATCATCTTCGATCTAAGTCAAATAACTTACGTAGCGTTTCTTAAATCATTATTTTTCATTGGGGTCTAGGGATGGACTGGGATGGGACCGGGTCAGGCTTCGGGACGGGACTGCACGGGTTTCGGGCTTAAGGATTTCAGGCCCGGTATCGGCCCAGGTTTGTACCGCGCCCGGGTCAAGTACTCGGGTTGTGCCCAAACACTACCCGATCAGGCCGGACTTCGGGACTTCGAGCCGGGCCCTGAAACGAGCCCAAAGCCCGCCCCTTATAGCCATTGGTCCGGGGGCGAGCCTATACAATGACGGGCTGGGTCAGTCCTAAACAGTACCGGGTCTGGGTCAGGCTGTCCATACCAGTCCATCCCTATTTTTCATTATCGACCAAATTCAACCAAAACAAAATCTAGATCGATAAAAGTACAAGAGTCGAAAGAAAAGCAAAAAAGAAGAGCACAAGCTTCAATGTTTTTTTTTCTCAAATAAAGATAGAAGTCATGGAACTGTTCTTTTTTTCTCAAATAAAGATAGAAGTCATGGAACTGTTCGTATTGTTAGCTGCGCAGAAAATATTTGTACAGAGAAATCTATTTAACCACTCGATACATACAAGTATGCAACTTAGTGGAAGGCACCCCTTAGCGGCTTGGCTTACGGAGCTGCAGCTTACGGAGTTGCAGCTGGTTATACCACCCCCCACATCAATCACAAAAACTCAAACCAGAAAAACGCTGTTTAGAGGAATATCAACAAAAACATGAACAACCCGGCAATTGACAACTAGAAGTAACTAAAGAATTGCCCTAAATAGGAGCAAAAACATGACGGATTTTTCCTAGAAATGAGTAATATGTTTTTCCCCTAAATAGGAGTTAAGTATTGTCATATTAATGTTAGATAATCTCATTATATGACACTGATTTCAAGATGACAATACTTTGCTCTTATTTAGATTAAAAAACACATTGTATACCCATTTAAGGAAGCCTCATTGTTTGTAATCCTATTTGGGGAAATATCCCTAGTAACTACTAACTACCTCTAAAGAAATTTCTAAGCCCCCTCTTCATTCCAAAGAACATCAAACCCATCAGTCCTCTGACTCCCCCTCGTTTCTTCTCCATCTTCTTGAGCATTCTTCAATGTTGCTACTTTAACCCACATGTTCGCCAGTTCATTCTCAAGGTAAGCTTCTCTTTCCATGGCTTCATCAATCCTTCTTTGTAGCTCAGCTTCATTGCGATCCCTTTCCGCAAGCGCAGCTTCATATAAAGCCTCCCTTTCCCTGCTCTCGCTTAGTTCTTTCTTAATGTCTGTGGTGGGGACCACACTTGCACTTTGATCGCTCCGCCTGACATGGTTGTCTCTCCGCCCGTTCCGCATGGGGATACTGTTTCTCCGCTGCGTGAGGGAACTCTTTTGGGCAGTGGCTGCTGCTAGTTCAGAAGAAAGTCTTTCATTTTGGTTCATTAGCTTTGAGACTTCTTCTGATAGTGCCTTTAGCTCAACAGCAGCAGCGGATGCTAATCCTTTGGCATATGAACTCTCCTCTGCCAGTTTATGGTTTCTAAATTCCAGTTGATCTTTTGACTCCGTTAGCTCTACCACTTTTCGTTGGAGCTCTTCAAGCTGTATCGCCTGTACATAATTCTAACAATAATAATAAGCGCTGCTGCAGTTACTACAATAATGAGTATATGACTACAACTAAAACTTTAATAATAATGCACATGCAACAAATCAATCAAATGTGACCAAACATTAAAAAAAATCCTTATCAATGTGTTTTTACTTTCCTAAATATTCTGAGTTCAACAAATAGTTTAAAAGTAACAAAAATGACAACCTGGGATTGAAGAAGTAACGCTTCCTTTGTATTCTTTGTTGCTGGGTTTTCCTTCTCATTCCGAAGTTGTCCTAACAAACGCTTTGTTGCTGACAACTTTTGTGAATCACCAAGTGAAGAAGGACCAGAATTTAGGGCATCTGAAAGTTGTTGTTTCAAGGAGGCAATTGTTTCTTGTAGTTCTTCACATTCAACAGTCTGTTTGTAAGAAATTAATTTTTCTCTTGAACTTGCGTTTACATGAACTAATCAAGGTTATATGGGGAACTCAGTGAGATAATATTACCTTTTGATTTAACTGCTCTTGAATTATACGATTGTCTGCAGCTTTAACCTGCGATAACCAGCAAACTTTTTAGGATCCATCTTGAGCTAGGAAAATGTTAGCAATAGAAAATAGAGGAAGATAATATAAGGGAGATTCAGAATAAATGAAATTATGAAAATATGGAGGATTTAAAAAAAATATTGGTTCAAACTCCTCAAATCAATTGTGGAAAAGTTCAACTCATTTTATTTGTTCATTTTTATTGCATTATGACTAAGAAAAATAACATCTGTAACATTTTCAAAAAAAAAATCATAATGAATTTGAACAAGTCTATTTTTGCATTTATTTGGTACATTTTTGTGCGTATATTATAATGTGACATCTATTTATTGGATAATAAAAAGTTAGTTACCTTTTCATCATCCAATAAATAAATGCTACATTGGAATAGGGTTTAATGCACCAAACCCTTCGTGATATATAAATTTTGTGCATCAGCCCCTTGTGATTTAATAAGTGTCAAACCTCCTTGTGTTATAATTAATTGTGCACAAAACTACCTCCGTGAGAAATTTTAATTGTTGAATAAAAGAAAAATGATTAGCAATTTTGTATAACTACCTCCTAGAATTACTCATTTAATTTCCGTTTAATCTCCTAGGTAAACCAAACACAAGAAAGTAATTTCCTTGGCTTTTTGTCCTTTTCCCTACACATTTGTGGAAATGGCTTCTCATTACCTCAAGTTCAAAAGATTTCTCATTCAATTGTGCCATAAGTTCTGCAACAGACTGCACATAAACAACAATTAGTAAAGGCACAAATTGGTCCTCAAAGATAACTTTATAGCTTACAAGATAAGCTTACTAATGAATCTTCAAAGCAAGTGATATTCTCATGAGAATCCATGAAAGAATTAGAAATTTGTTTTCCCAGTGAAGCTATTTCCTCATTTTTCCTTTTGATATCATCTCTCAGTGCTCTTATCTCCACCTTCAATGTAAGAAAATGTCAGTTTTCAAAAAGAGCAACCAATGAAGGAATTAAATGAAAGTGTATATCAAGGTGATATATACTTGTATGAGTTCCTTATTAGGACTCCGAAATGCCTCATCTGAAAGCCTTTTTAACGCACTGGTATGGAGTGCCACTTCATCCAGCAGAATCTTTTGTTTTTCCCTCAGTAGATCAAGTTGATCGATGGTCTTTATGCTAGTCTAGTAGAGCAGGATATAATTACAATAAGTACATAGAGCATAGAACAAGATACTGGAAAACAGTATACGAGACACACACCCAAAGATATTATATATATATATATATATATAGAGAGAGAGAGAGAGAGGAATGATCACGTCCATCCGGAGGGACGGGAAGTGCCGTCCGAACTTTACTGTTTGGGGTGGTTCCCGGTGGAATTTTTTGATGAAAATTTTTGAGCATGTTCCTCATCAAGTCTAGTTTACCCATACCAAATTTCAGCTCAAAATTCGATCGGGAAGGCATTCAAATAAATTCTTGAAACATACTGCACATTCTGCGCACATATAATGTGCAGTAAGTTTCAAGAAATTATTTGAATGCCTCCCCGATTGAATTTTGAGCTGAAATTTGGTATGGATAAACTAGACTTGATAAGGAACATGCTCAAAAAATTTCATCAAAAAATTCCACCGGGAACCGCCTCAAACAGTAAAGTTCGGACGGAGCCTCCCGTCCCTTCGGATGGACCTGAGCATTTCTGTATATATATATATATATATATATATATATATATATATTATACACACACACACATACATATACTACGTATTATTTAATGATAATTATAATTTTTAAAACACAGGAACACACATATATGCACATGTGTATATGCTTGAACCTAAACTATATGGAACTAGGATAATCTGTTATATTCCAGCATTCCTATACTAAAGATCAATCATGTATTCAAAGTCCCTGAAAAATCCAACATGAATCTTTGAACTGCCTGCCTTCTGAGAAATGAAAATTCAATTGCCAAATTCTTTACATGCCTTTTGTATGGAAGGGGGGTGGACAATGCTAATTGGTATAAATAATAACAATCATAAGAGAAACAACCCCCCCCCCCCCCCCCGCTGCCTACACCCCAAAAAAATACTATTAGTGTTGTTGTTATTGCTTATTACGGAGCATTATTAAGTATGTATAATTATTATTATAATATTAATAAAAAAAGGTAACTTGAAGCAAATTAAATTGTCCTACCATGGGAATCTCTGGTCCTAAAAAGTTATCCCCAGGAATGTCTCTAGAACTATTGTTTTCTGTCGGCAAGGAATTTGAATGCAGTGATTCCATGTGAACATTACCACACTCTGCCTGCGGGGTGGAAGGAGTACTATTTGACTTGAGACCGCTAGATTTGTCGCTTGTGCTTGCAATTGTCCCGCTGCTACCTTCCCGTTTCTGCTAGACATGGAAGTGATCTTCATTAACAGATTGCCTAAAAAACAAGGAGACCAATAGCAATTTACATGGCTGAACATATATCAAGATATTCCTCTCACCCGCGGCTTTAACCAATTAAGCAATCCATTTTTCCTTGTCTTTTTTCCTTCCTTTATTGTATCATCAACCATTTCAATGTTGTTATCTTGGAAACAATACGAATCAATGTCATCATCATCCAAGACCAGATCTCGCCTTCGATGGGGTAGATACGCAAGCTTTCAAATAAGTTCAAAGAAGTCAGATTACATAATGATCAAATTAACTGCAAATGTTTAGTTCATTGGGATTATATCATTAGACTTTTGGGATGGTTTTCCATTACTACAAATACAATGTAAAAAGGGTCACCAATGCATCATAATACAAACCTCTTCTTCTCCAAAAGAATGTCTTCTTCTATGGCCTGCATGATGAGGAAATCTGGAAGATTGTGAAGCTTTAGATGATACTAGAATTAGTTTCGTCAAACGTTGGATTCTGCCAAGTAAAGCAGCTTTTGCTTCTTCTTCCTGCTCCAGTCTTGTCTGCAATCTGACCTGACCATCTTCTAGCTTTAATGACAACAGCAGAAAGCACATGAATATTACAAGTCAATGAAACCATTATTGACAGGAAAATATACAATTGTATTTGAGGTAAACAAAAAAAGTATTATTGACTGCCATCATAAGAATACTCCAACAGGATGGCAAACATGTGGCAGCTTTTCTAGCATCGAAGAAAGTTTAAATGAAAAAAAAAACATGCAAAAGTAGCAATTCAGGACTTGCTGATAGTTTGACCATGAAAATTTTATAAAACATACCCAGTGTTACTGAGGAGTAACTTAGTAAAAGAGCCGGTTGAACATGAATGCTAACACAAAACAGCCTTTTTGTAATTATAAATATTTGCAAATTTAATAGTCCTGATTATGTTTACTTCCTCCACAAGGCTTTTCACAGAGCTTAAGAACAAAACTGTAGGGGTAGTGACTGTACCTTAACAAACTAATGTAAAAAGGGTGAAAAAGTATGAAAGAGATGATGAAAAAGTAAAAAGGTCGGTAAGAGAAGACGAAAAGATGAGGGCACTTATGACTTTTGGTACATTTGTAATTTCCAAAAAAGGAAAGTAGAAGAAGTAAAAACTTAGAAGAAAAGGGAACCAATGAAACATATATGGATGGAGTACTCCGCGATTAAAATGCAATTCAGAAAAGTGAGTTTTGTGGAATACATGAACTTAAAACAGAAGCAGCAAAACCACTCTATAATGGAGGGAAGTGTAACCAAGTAACATTATAATTGGCTTATCATATTAGTCGAGCCAAACATACTTCAAAAAAACGTACTCTAAAGTTATTTAGAATTGTCTTAAGGAGCACGTAAGTCTTATTAGAACCTTTCTGGTTCTATTACAATAAGTTCCAAGAGAAATATATTCTTTATGATTCAAAAAGGAAGTCCAAAGAGTGTTATTCATAAAAGCAGCTTGGTGTGTACCTTTTGTTTTAGAAGCACATATTCTTCTCCAACATTATCCTTCACTTGTGGAACTGTAACAATGCCTTTCTTTAGTTGTTCTAACTCCTCTTTCAGATGGAGAATTTCATTTTGATATTTCTTGATAAGTGATTTCTCATCAATGATCTGAAATTTTCACCAGTTTACTTTAACAAAGTCATGACATTATTAGTCAACAAATCACATTTCATTTATGGATAGTCGGGGTGTATTAAAGACCTTGTTTTGCGCTGCTTGGATCTCGATGTGTTTTGCACGGTGTGCAAACTTTAACGTGTTATGAGTTTCTTCCGAATTGCTAGAGGAGGGTGTAACGGTGCAAATAAGCTGCAATAAGCAAAGCAGATAATTAATATAGTTATTGCAGAAATTTAATATATTTATTCCTGCAGTGCCGTGTTAGAATGTTCATTTGGTCCCTAAATGATAGAAAGATGCAAGATGCAGTTAAGCATCCAAAACCCTTACAGATACACGCCCATGCCCACTTAGTGAGGATTGAAGAAGCCTGGTCAGTTTTGAATCCCTGTATGGTATATGAGCAGCCTTTTCGTCTGTTAATTTTGATATAACCTGAATGAAGTAAATTATAAAAAAGAATCTCAACATGAGGATATATAAGGGTCTAAATCAGTGGCCCACGTGATTTATTAATTGGTCCAGCAATCCAGCAGATATGAACTTACATCCGTTTGCAGATATCGTTAGGCAGTTCTATGGGGGGAAGACCACCACCTAGCGCCCAGGCGGTTTATAGATTTTTATACATACATGCATGCATACATGAAAACATAAATACGTACACAAAAACATGGACATAGATTTTCTCCTGTGTAGCCTGTCTGGTCAGCTAACTAGCCAACCAAGCGCATTCATTTAGGCCACTTAAACAGCTGCCTAGCCTGCCTAATCGCGCTTTAGTTTTTTCAAGAGCCTAGAATCACCGCCCAAGTGCCCAACAATTCAAACTGGTTTGAATTGCTGCTTTGATCCAAGTTGGTGTGTAAACTTGAATGTGACATTGTTTCACCGCCCAATACTCTACGCCATACTTAATGCAAGCTTAATTGTTGTTCGATAAAATTTACCCTTCAATCTAGTCGGCATACCACGATCGCTTAGAAATCCTGATGCACTCTTCCATTTCATTCACCCTGCTCTAATTCTATGGGATACATCTCCATCCAATTCACCATCCTCATTTTCATTGGGGTATGTAAATAATAACTTGTATTTTAAAAAAATCAATCAGCATTCATAATTGAGTTTAATGACAGCAATTTGCTGAAATGGATTTACTCTCAGGAGATAGTAAGAGTAATGTATAATGGGAAATGCCAAAGGACCAAAATAGCAGTGTTACTTATAATGGTTGAGGCCTCACAGTTCCAAGAGTTAGCAAACTTTTGTTGATATATGACCCCTCTTTTCTGCGCACACCAGTAGTTTCAGCCTTAGAGCTTTCAGAACCCGCCAAGTCAATGAGATGCTGCAATAATAAGTTCATTTGCAAGAGCTATAAGTTACTCAAAAAATTGATTTTACCCCTTGTATAATATGGCATAAAGCCACAGACATCTCTGATTTCAAATATAAGAGGACGATATTATATTAAGAAAAAATTAAAACAGATAAAAATTACAAACACATTGAAGATCGTATATCCTGGGGAAAATTTATTTACCAGCTGTGACAAGCTAACAGCCTCACCTTCACTATTTTCACAAGGGCTACTCTCTACTGTCTGTTACAAGAAAATCAAAGTAGATGTTATTTAGGAAGACATTTCAGTGTAATTGAAGTGAATCGGGTAAAGTTAAGTGCAGACTAAAGTCTAAACAAAGAAATGTTGTGTAAACTCCATCAGTAAAATGTACAATACCAGAGTAAATATTGTATGGCTTCTGCTGCTCAGTAGATTGAAGTTTGTGGAGCCAACATGCCTATGTTCTGAATAAACAAACTAAACACTATCAAAGCAACAAAAAGGAAAGTGAAATGAGATTTCTACTTCAGGCTGTTCAGATTAGTATCTTTAACCCAGTACTGCAAGTAAACTAGCATTTATAAATCTTCACCAGCTTATCTTTCCTCAGCCAATAACAATATGCAAACCTAAACAATAACAATATTCACCAGCTTATCTTTGTACCCAATCTTATACAGATAAACAAAAGATCAGCTTTGGCACGATAGTACGATTGCACCATATTTATTAAAAGGGAGGTCTGACACTGACGCTACCTCTTAGCAATTAGCAGTATGCCTCACGTATTTCACATTCTCTGAGATGCTCTTGGTGTCAAAGTTTAAAGGGACGGTTTAATCCTTGAGGAATAAAATAACTGACTATACATTTAAATTGAGTCATGCTGTTTTGATTCTTTAATGTTCATACAACTCCATGTTTTATGATTTGGAACTTTGAAATTACATAGTTGAATTGTGAAGCTCATTAATTTGAGACTAAAGTCACTAAACATTACAAGGGATAGCATAACTGATAGATAGCAGGGAGAGCAAGGGGCGGGAACAGGCTTGGGCCCACCTCCGTGGGCTGGTTGTGGGCTAGGATTATAGTTTTATTTATTATTAAAGTTTAGGTTATGTTTTCTAGTGTGGGCCTATTATTAGTAAAGTACTTAGTAGAGTTAATTTGGGCTTAATTAGGATTTAATTAATTTGGGCTAGATTAGGGTTTCTGTTTAGTCTCTTACTAGAAGGCTATTTATAACCCCTTGTCAGGGTTCATTCTTGCTTATCTTGGAATAAAGTTGGATTCAGCCTTTTGGCTATGGGCTACGGTTTCTGCCGTTGATTATTCTGGGCAACGGTTTACCCCGCTGATTTTTATTTTTCTGTTTTCATCAATAACAGACTCTGTCAGAGAAAAAGAACAGAATATGATATTCAGAAGTTAGAATAGAACAGAGCCAGCAAAGAGGTCAAAGGAGGAACATGTGGAACAGAACAGTGAGGAATAAACCAAAAAAAGGAATCTTAAACCTACAGAGGAGAAAAGACTAGAGAGTAGTGTGAAGCTAGCGAGAAAAAGAGTCATGCTAGGACTTCAGAATTCTCCATAAGCTAATACCTAAAGAGGAGTGATTTTGATAGGCATGTGGATGAAGTGTATAAAGATAAACAGGCTATTAAATACTTTAAGAAAGTATGCCGCAGGAGAGGGAAGGAACAAAACAGTTAATTAGTTAACTGAGATAGTTAGTTAGTTAGTTAGTTAGTTAGTTAGCTGATGTGTCCCTGCAAGGATGAGAGAAGTAAAGAAATAAATAGAGGAAAGGGGGGAGAGGGAGGTAGGCTGATATTCAGTTAGAATTGGGCTGGGAGATTGAGACTCTCGAACTGTCTCACTACTTTCTGTATACTCTTTGTAGTTCCTCCATGAATGAAGTTGAAGCTTTCTGATCAATTCTTGATCATTTCTTTACAATTTTCTGCAATATTCTTAGTCGTTTGTTAGCATACCTATCAGGTTTGGACTGATTCTATAATTTCTTATGGGCTTTGGTGACTTTAATCAGCAAAAAAATGAAAAGCTCATCATGGTGTTAATAATAATAAGCATAATGGAGTTAATAATAATAAGCCTAATAAGACCAAAAAATCCTTGAAACAAAATTTGTGGTTGTAACGCTTAAACCTCAAAGATAGCATTGAGGCTTATGAGCCTACCATGATTAACCATAGGTGTAATCCTCCCAACATGCAAACAACGGGTAACCTCAAGTCTAAATTTGTCCGTTTCAAACTGAGGCAAGCCTCAAAAAAGCCTTTTAGAACTATGAACGGATTTCCTCTTTTAGTAAAAGTTTGTGTACTCCAGTTGTTCAAATTGAGTATGACTCTTGGGCATCCAATACTATGAAATGTTTTTGGGACGGGTGAACTATACAATGTTTGAAAATCTTGAAAGAATAATGGTCCAATTATGGGTGTGTAGAAATTAAGCAAATGTTAAAAGAAAAACACATTCTTCACTTCTCCACACACAATTGACTGTAAGAAAAGATAAGGTGACGCCGTGACGGTACTTGGTACTACTACTTACCTTCCCCTGCAGCAATAAGAGATAGGGCATGAGCTGGGGATAGAACAACTTCTTCTTTGATTCCTTCCACAAAGGTCCCCTGTTAAAGTTTGAATTAATACTTTTGTGGAAGCGGCAAAACTCATCAAACTCAATAATGAAAACCGCTGTTTGTACTTACTTAATCAGTATACGGTACACATTATGGTCAAATATGTAGCAAAGATCACTATACTCAATAAAACAGTGAAGAGGTCAATCTATGAAAACTGGACACGTAGAATAGAGAGTAGTGTTGAACATTCAGTTGGTCGTTTGTGGTTAAATAACCGACAGAAAACACTGATCTGTATTTTTAACTCCCATGACCGGGATCTCATCACTGTGACGGTGTGACTAAAGGATGTGACAGTGTGCCCAAAGGAATAACCATACATAGGTTATGTCAGTTACTGGGTACCTGAATTCATATAATGCCATGTGCAGTTATGTCTGGATTATAAAAGCAGATGTTCATAAAAACTCCAAGCTTTACAAAACAATTAATTTAAAAAATGCATCAAATACTTTCACTTCAGATCATGAAGAAAATATCTTATTAGCTATGAACTTTCAGAGTTTCAGTTCCAGTTTCATGACTTTGATCAGCCATTAGCTTTTCACTTTTAGAGTAATTTTCAGCTTTATACTAGTTCCTAAGCTTATCTAGCAAACAGACCATACTCTATATGAAATGCTTCCGGAATCAGTTGGTGGTAGATTCATCCCTTGCAAATGTTTTATTAATCAGGTTATAAGATTAGGCACCCGCATCTGCAGAATGTGTATATGTGCATATAAGATGGTAGATAGCGTGATGCATGTGAGCTTATGGTTCAATTAACTAACAAGTAAAAAAGCAAAATAATTCAAAGTAGTTGTTACCAGATGATTTATACTCATTTGTATTCATACCAAGAAGCAAACTAGTGTTCTATGTCAATGAAGGTCGTGAAAGGCCAAATGGACCAACAAAATTTCAACTAACAAATCCATACAGAGCAATTCATCATTACTAAAGAGGACAATAATTACATGACAAATGATAAGAGTACCTGAGCATCCTCTCTTATTCTTAGGTTTTGTCCAGCAGGATTTAGCAAGTCATTAACAACCTGAACAATGTGAAAACAAGAATTAGTTCAATAATTAAAACAATTGACAAACATAACTTTGTAAGCTGACAAAGTTACTTGCATATGAACTTCCAGATGTGACGCAATAAAACAGCTCTGGACCATTAAACCATAAAAACATACCTCATTGTAGATTTCCAGATATGACACACGAAGCAGGTATTCTCGGCTAGGAGTCTAAAGCATGAAAAAAAATGCAGTTGAGGGTCTGTCTCAAAGCATAAAGCTCAACAGTATGCAGTTATTCAAATATATTGAAGTCTACCTCTTGAATTATACTGAAGGCATCCTTCACAGCCAATGGTATAATACCAGGGGACCTCTGATCACCCTATATGCATGTGAGTACAAAAAATAGTCAAGAGGCGTTATTATATTACTGCTCTTAATTTTCTTATTGTTATTAAAAGACTCCTTCGGTCATTTAGTGCGGCCCTAACAGGAGACAGACTCACATCACTATATGTAGATGTGGCATCAAGAATCATGAGAACAATGAGCTCTTCTAAAGTTTTTAAACTAGATGTTGTCATAGTACTCCTAACCATGTAAACAAGACAAAAGAAACTTAGCATGCCTATCTCACAAATAAACCTTATAAACACCCTAAGTTGACATTTGTGTGCAACATCCCTCAGCTGGGAATGCCACCCCACATTGGTCCCGCAAACTAAACACTGTCATCTTCTAACTATTAACCATTTAGTACTAAACTGATATTACGGATATGGTCCACGAATATAGTAAGGTCCATTTAAAGACAATTTGTTCCCCCATTTCAAAATGTTGCCTTCATTCTGTAGTATGCATCTTCACACTAAGGCCTGGGCTCACTCATCATTGACACCAGAATGGTGTTATGGTCTTGTACTCTTGTATATATCATGGTACTGAATTTGAGCAGTTTTTAAGAAATGATTTTTTCTTACATGCATGGTGTGAGTTTTACCGCTGCTTGTAACCCCATATGCAAAGATTGTGCCTGTGATTGGACAGAAGCAGCAAAAAAAGTACTCGGCTTTAGCAAGATTGATGCTTGAAACAAATTCTCTTGATAAGGATTAGAATACTACACAACTGCACGGACATTATGCAAATTGAAAGTGAGGCTTAAAGGAAATATGAAGTAATCAACTGCTCAAACATTATACAGTGTAAAGGAGACTGAGGCAATATCAAGTAAATGATTGCATAATGGATGCTTGGTTGAAAATCCATTGATCCAATACTTGAAGTAGAAAAACAGACAACATAAGTCCATGAATTACAAACCAAATGCCTGCTGGTCGTATATAACACGCAAGTTTTAAAAGCAAATGGCTTCACATAGTTAAAGGGAGTGCTATATCTCATCAAGTAAGGGGTTGTTTGTTCCATAACTCCAAAATAAGAATCAAAATCAAATATTAAACAACTGAGATAAGCTTTACACAACTCAATTAGTAGTTTAGTACAAAACCCATAAATAGAATGAAAACTCATATTTGTGTTTCTATTCACGCCCACATACACATAATATAAAAATGGTCGTGGTAATAGAGTCTTCTTACAAAACACCTTGTTCTCATTGTTGCTCTCAGTAACAAAGTCATCCCTATGTTTTCTTTTTTCCTAAAAGCTATTCCTATAAAATCACATGTAAAACCTGCAATCAACTCATTTCATCCCTCACTGCATTCCATGGCGAGCATTCTCTAGCTCCAGGCTACTCCATTATACCATCAGCTTTGAACTTTCTCTCTCCCATAAACTCGCATCTCAACCAGCATTGCTCCATCTAACTTCCTATTAAACATTCGCTTTTATGGAGAAGTCTGAATTGGGTGGATGTCTGGATAATGAATACCAGAATTTTTCAATGAGCCAATGACATAGGGATGATGCGTCTAGAGTGGGCATCCCGTGACAAACCATAACCTAAACATTTCTAAGTTTTTTTCATTTTATCCTTGTTTCCCATTCGTCTAAAAAGTGACAATATGCTCGGAAACATATACTGGTTCAAGTCATTCAGGAGTCTTGATAATGAGCAAACAAATTAACAAACAAAACCCTCCTAATTGATTCCATAGAAGATGCATAGTTAAGAACCCAAGACATTCTAAATAGATGACCGGCAAAAGAACTCTGAATTGTTAAGAAACGTGTTTGTTGGTTTAATGGATTCTATAACCATAAATAGGGAAAAACTTTCAAAGAAAATGATTTCATATATAACTACATAAATAGACTGTCATGAAATAGTGTCTTTTTGCTGCAGATATAACAGAAACTAGCCAATTCCCAGAATTTGATTTTTCATATCAAAACATTTCTTGGTAGCATCACCATCATGACAAACCACCACGAACAGACCATTGCAGAGTTGCAGACTAAAGCCAACTTTCCAGATTAATAGTTAATCCACGCTGTTCATTTGCACAAGTTCATGAATGTTTCTGGTTGTCTCTAACTTGTACTTTTGTTTTCGTATCACACAAGGATATCAGCACAATCCACCACCTTGAATAGATTGAATCATAAGATAGAAGCCCCTTAAAACCGCAACTACAATACAATTTTGAAGTGTAACATAACCGCCTTCAGATCCCAAGATCAGAAAGTGATCTTTGTAAAACTGTGCTTCAGCAACATGCCAATATTATATCATTTCACTTAGGCACTTCAGAACTAAGGGTTATTTGCTTCTGAACTAATGGGCTTAACATGGAGAATGACTAAATCGCTTCGCCATTGAAGTCGTGTTCATTTATGGCTTAATTAAAAACATGGCTTATTTATTAAAAATAAAGCTTATTCGCTCAGCCAAAAACTAACTAAATTGTTAAACTTTCATGTGTTATTCCCTCTGCTGCACACGCGTATTTAGCCCAAAAGTGACTCTTTTAGGAAACTTAGAATTTTCTGATCAACTTAACTAATTTCATAAAATGAAGTCATGAAGTATTCCTCTCTCCACCAGTCCACCCTGCATGGAATAACCACCAAACTCTGCTAATTGTTTTTCTAAAATCTAGCAAATTAGACTTTTTTGTAAAAGTAATTACAAAATACCAAAGCTAAACATTCGCAATATGGAATAGATGTGTGTTTTTAAGTGAGAATACTCATTGAAAAGGATGCCCGAAAATAACCTTAAATTGGTTAATTCCCAAATCAGACTGTTTGTTTAGCAGTTAGCACACATAGTAAACAGCCCCTATATAAAAACTACTTAATTCGTACTGACATCTAACAAACACAAACATCTTAATTCAGACGGGACTTGATGGGGATAAAAAGTAAACAATCCCTAACAGAAACAGCTTTCAGCCCACTATCAATTTCAGAAATCCATCCATATTGTGATATGGAAAGAAGAAGACCAATAATACTATTATCATTACTATTCATTATTCTTATAATTAGTTTCCTAGAGTATTAGGGTTAGTTTCCTAAGGTTATTATTAGTTGCAGTTTCCTATCAGTAGAGATATTCTATTTTAGTTCATTTCCTAATAAAAGCATTGTAACAGAATTAAGGTTACTCTATTAATAGACCACCAAGACTCTTGGGACTAGTATAAATAGTGGTGCTATATTAATGAATAAGATCATCAATCTTTTGGAGAAATAATTCTTCTTGTGTGCTCGATGGAACCGACGAACACTTCCTTGAAGAGGGCGGGAGCCTGTGTTGTTTTTCCATTTACCATACTTTTAAGTTTTAACCACCAGTCCACCCTGCATGGAATAACCACCAAACTCTGCTAATTGTTTTTCTAAAATCTAGCAAATTAGACTTTTTTGTAAAAGTAATTACAAAATACCAAAGCTAAACATTCGCAATATGGAATAGATGTGTGTTTTTAAGTGAGAATACTCATTGAAAAGGATGCCCGAAAATAACCTTAAATTGGTTAATTCCCAAATCAGACTGTTTGTTTAGCAGTTAGCACACATAGTAAACAGCCCCTATATAAAAACTACTTAATTCGTACTGACATCTAACAAACACAAACATCTTAATTCAGACGGGACTTGATGGGGATAAAAAGTAAACAATCCCTAACAGAAACAGCTTTCAGCCCACTATCAATTTCAGAAATCCATCCATATTGTGATATGGAAAGAAGAAGACCAATAATACTATTATCATTACTATTCATTATTCTTATAATTAGTTTCCTAGAGTATTAGGGTTAGTTTCCTAAGGTTATTATTAGTTGCAGTTTCCTATCAGTAGAGATATTCTATTTTAGTTCATTTCCTAATAAAAGCATTGTAACAGAATTAAGGTTACTCTATTAATAGACCACCAAGACTCTTGGGACTAGTATAAATAGTGGTGCTATATTAATGAATAAGATCATCAATCTTTTGGAGAAATAATTCTTCTTGTGTGCTCGATGGAACCGACGAACACTTCCTTGAAGAGGGCGGGAGCCTGTGTTGTTTTTCCATTTACCATACTTTTAAGTTTTAAGTCTTCTTATGTTCATCTCCCAACCGAACCCGCAAAATATGGTTGGCCCAATTTTCTCATGAATAAACAAGACAGTTTCAACTTGTTGAATTATTGAACACCACTCTCTAGCACTACTACAGTCTTACATCACCTCAACAGTGCATACTGCTCACTTCAGTTTTGACCTCTACAAATTAGTATTGTGCTTGTATTTCAACTTTTTCTGTGGTGCTTTTTTCTATATCAAAACCAAGAGCAAATTGTACAACAAAGTTATTGAGTCGCTTACCGTTAATCCCTTCCATGGAACCACTAACAACATGCTGTGCAGCCACATCGTAGACTTGCCGTGTTGTGGTTGTAGGGCCAAACACTCGATCTGGAAAACAGCCAATCATATTTAAGATCAAGTTCAAATAGGAAATGTTCAGAAACCGCTCAAAAATGAAACTTCTGTAGCTAATTGATGACATTACCAGATAGAGGGAATTGATTTATTCCAGGTATTTGAGTTTTAATTTCTACTCCCAAATCATTGTAACAATCAAACTCAAGATACAACCACCATATGCACATTTTTCCCTCTATTTCAGGCTGTTTAGCGGTTTGACTTGCCAAGTACCAGTGGCGGAGCCAGGATTGACAGGCTAATTGGGCCGGGGCTTAAGAAATTTATATAGCAGGAGCCAAAACTTAAATTTTCACTATATTTTTTACTACTTATAAATATTTATAAGTATATATAAATCACAATTTTTTTTCTTGCAGGGGCCAAGGCCACCGCCAGCCTCCCCTGTCTCCACCCCTGTGGCCAACGAAGAAATATCTAACTAATAGTAATTTCAATGACATTGGCCCATGACTCCATAGTCCATACATATCTAGCTATATTCGTTAAAGTTCATTAACAGACGCATTTTTACGAGAGAGAAAATAAAATAAAAAGTTCAAAAACGAAATGGAATAACTGATTAACAAAAATATATCAACACAACAGGAAATACCATATGCATATGCTAATGCTTGATTATGTTCATTCCTCACAGCAGTATCCCCATCTGCATACCACGCAATTTCCTCCCCTTGTCGAATCTCTCTAGGACTGCTCCAACAAGCAACCAAAACAAACACTCAGAAATAGAACAGCTACAGCTAATCACTACGAAGTAATTCCAGACACCATAGCCGCACCTTAGAGGCCTAAACCGTACAGTCACTGTAACATTTTCCTTGGATCTCTCCGAGCTCAGAGGGGAACTTTCCGAGTAATAGTACCGAGGCTTGCTCCGGACGGATGATGACGCCGCCGGCGAGGTCGCGCAGTCAATATAAGTTTCCCGGAACTGTTTCGACGATGAAGTGGTAGCAGAAGCTGGAGAATTCGCCACTCTTGAGCTTGGTTTTTGGGATTTCGTTCCTTGTCTTGCAGACATTTTAGCTACCAAACAAAAGAAAATAATAAAATACGGAGTAAAATAACAGACAGAGGATTTATTGAAGCAGCGCCCATTCTCCCTGCAACTCCATTTAACGCGTAATGCACAATTATGACAAAGGGGTGATTATGCGCAACTTTAATTGCCTTTGTCTACTTGTTTACTCTTCTGATGACTATTTTCTTGTGAGGAATATTGGTTAGGCACAGGTAACACGTTTCTTACCTTTCTTTTGATTTTTATTTTACTTACTCTGGATCTTTCTTCATTAAAAGAAATTGTTTTCCTTTTTCCAACGTCTACTAATACGTAGTAACGATAATAAAAAAACGTCTAATACGTAGTATAGAAATGGAAACCAGTACATTTTTACGGTCAACTAGACCCCCTACTAATACGGAAAAGTCAATTAAGCCTTTGAATTCAAAAAACACTCAATTAAACACACGAAATATGAAAAGAAAAACAAAACATTCCTTTTAGCATGTAATAACCGGTTCCCGATTCCATTAGTCCACGTGTTGCCACATGTTGTCATTTGTGGCCACCTGTCGACACGTGTAAAGGTTTACCTGGAATCGGTTAATTACATGCTAAAATGACTGTTTTGTCTTGTTTTTTTATAGTTCGTGAGTTTAATTGAGTATTTTTTGAGTTCGGAGGTTTTCCCATTTTTCGTATTAGTGGGAACCTATTGGACACTTTTCCCATTTTTCCATAAGATAGTTGATGCATTAGTTAGGTAAATAAGTACTGTCATCAACAATTATGATCAATAGTAATATACGTTAGAGTCAATTTTTTACATCTTGGACAGCATTTAATGACTTTGAAAGGTTATAAATATTGAAAGGCTAGGGTGTCTAGCGTTTAATTTCGGCGTTTCCATTCCCTTCTGTTTGTGCCCTCTCTATTTCGCGCTTTCTTTGGCTCATCTCCTTTATCTTATATCTCTGTATTGCTCTTATTCATAATAGAGAAAAGGGGTAAATAAACCTTCAAACTAACCAAAAAAATGCATATAAACCCTTATATAAGAGGTTCTGCCGTGCCATCATCATTTGGAGAGGTTCTCGGTGAATGTTTTTGATGAAATTTTTTGAACAACTTCTTCATAAAGTCTAGTTTAGTCATACCAAATTTCAGCTAAAAATTCAATCGGAAAGGCAGTCAAATGAATTTTTGAAGACAACTGTGCGGTTAAACAACGCAGTATATTTCAGAAAATCACTTGACTGCCTTCCCGGTTGAATTTTTAACTTAAATTTTGTATAGCTAAACTAGACTTAATGAAGAAGATGTTCAAAAAAAATTATCAAAAAATTCCATTGGGAACCTCCTCAAATGACGATGATCGGACAAAGTCTCTTATATAAGGGCTTATTTGCACTTTTTTGTTAGGTCAAGGGCTTATTTACCTCTTTTCCCTTCATCATATATACTCTATGTTCTTGTATATAGCCATATAGGTATGTGTATTTAGTAATTTTAATTCGTTTCTATTGTATTTTCTTTATTTCTACTGTATAAAGCCATATAGGTATGTGTATTTAGTAATTTTAATTCGTTTCTGTTGTATTTTCTTTATTTCTACTGTCGTACGTCTCTTTTCGCTTCTATCTTGTTACCATTTGTTTGTGTCTCGGTGTAGAAATCAGGTTGGCAATTAAAAAAAAAAAGTTCTATTATTCTATCGCCGATTAGAAACATCCATTATATATATACCTCCATTCTTTTTTAGTTGCAACAATCAACATTTCACACTTGCCAATACATGTCTTTGACCGTAATTATATCTTAATCTCTGATAAGTCCGTATTTAGACACGCATTTGATGCGTGTTCGGATCGACTTTTGATGGTTTTCCTAGCTTTAAGGTGTTACAAGTCTCAATTTTAGCTCAAGTTGTGACTATCAGGCGTTGGGTCGAGTTTTATTGCATTTGGAGTCAAATTGGTGAAGTTAGAGACCGGCATCGGCGCTTAGAGAAGCAATCGGGAAGAGTTGGAGAACATTCGAGAGAGATTTGAGAGTTTTGGAGGCCACCGGAAGGTTCACGGCGAAGATTTGATGAAGAAACGGCCTTTGGATTGATTAAAGAAGTATCCGGGAGCAAACGGGGAAGAAAATAGCAAGAAAACGGTGCTAGAGCAATCCGCGCGCCCCGCGGTGCAGTTCCGCACGCCCCGCGGGTGATTTTGAGAGCAAGAATTCAAGAAGTCTGAACCGCACTATGTGCGGCCGAAACCGCACACCGCGCGGCCGAAACCGCACACCGCGCGGTCCAGAAAACAGCCCCAGAAGTACCCGCGTGGTTGCATAGTGCGGCGCCCGCACATCGCGCGGGCGGAGCGAAAGTCGGAAGACGGAAAACGCGCGCGTGACCGCGCGGCGACCCGCACTACGTGCGGACGACTGCGCGGCCTGATTTTCGGCCCGTTTTCGGATTTTTCTATAAATAAGCCCCTGTTTTGCCTGTTTTTGAGATATGAGCTTAGAGAGATAAACCCTAATTCGATTTTTGAGAGCTTTTCAAGCCTTTTTCTTCAAGATTAAGGGATTCTTTGTAAATTCTATCTTTTTAATTAATGACAATTATTTCTATTCATCCCAATTCTGTTGATTCTTCAATTATGAATTGTGAGTAGTTTAATTAGAGATTTGGGGTTGATGAAGGGGTTAATCATGATTGATGGCTAGATTCTTGTCGGTTTAATTGCATGAATGCCGTTTAATTTGTGTTTGAAGAATTTAACTGATATCTTTTGTAACCTGGAACCGCGGCTAGAATTACAATTGCTTGTAGAATAAGTTAAGAGAGATCTAATTTATTCTAGAACACCTTCACACACACTTAATCGTTCGCTAAGAGATTAGTAGCAATTAAGGGGCCGTAAGCTCGCTCGTCTTGGAAATAATTTAGGATCCTGTCGCATGATGAGAGATCAGCCTGGTCCCCTAAATTATTGTACTCTACGCCGCGAGAGCGGTAAGAACTTAGTAATGATTAGCTCGGCTCAGTTAAATTAAATTCATGTAATTGGGCCTGTTCTACCAGAAATCTGATCACCCCGGAATCAATCTCTGTTCCCTTTGTCGTTAATTAGAAAGAAACCAAGCATTTATTTTATTCGCTCATTCGCATTAGTTTAATTTAATTTTTATTCAATCAATCAATCTCACACAATTGCATTTTATTTTATTTTCTTTTTTATCGCTGAATTTAATTATTCTTGTCCAAACCAAACCAAATCAAACCACCAATTTAATAATATGTATAAGTTTTTTTGAGTTTCTTTAGTTTGGTTCAGTTTTGTTCGGTTTTATCGGTTTCGGTTCGGTTCGGTTTAATATGGTTTGGAAGAAATAGTACCAAACTCAAGCCAAATTGCATACGGTTCGGTTTCGGTTCGGTTTAGTTCGGTTTGATACGGTTCGGTTCGGTTAAACCAAACCGTTATGCCCACCCCTAGTTTGAAGGAAGAATCCTTCTTTTTTTCTGGTGAGAATTAATTAGGAGCTTTATAACCATATAATAATAAGATATATTAAAAGAATGCAGCACCCAAACATCAAATAAATATTACTCAGTCACAAGTGTGAGTAATATTTAACAATAACAACATGTTAACAGGGACACTAAGGGAGTGTTTGCGATTGCTTCAACTTTAAAAAAGTGATTTTTTAAAGTGATTTTGGAAAAAATGATTAATAGTAAAAGTTGGTAATGTTTGAGAAAAAAGTGATTCTGAAAAAGTAAAAGTTGGTAGTGTTTGGTAAAATAAGTACTTTTTGTGTAATAGAAAAAGTGAGAAGCAGTTTAAAGCATCCTTCTACCTGCTTCCAGCTTTTAGCTTTTAAGTGATTAATTTAAGCAGAAGCTGTCATTTGAAAACACTCTTTTCAACTTTTTTTAAGTCAAAAGCTGGAAAGTTTTTTTTTAAGCAACCCCAAACACTCCATAACTCATTTATCATTCTCTACCAAAAAACTCTTCAACACACTAAAAATGCAAAGCTCTCAATTGTCTGAGAAAATCCCCAAGCAGAAGAGTAACAACTTAGTATAGTACTCTATTAAGATTAAATGAAACCGACAACAAAAGAATAAAAGTCTTGTACGAGTCTAAGGATTTGATGTGATCTAGAAGTTGCTTCATTCAAGTAAGTCTCTCTAATTTATCTTTGAGCAGCCAAAGCCCAAAGATAATAGAAAAGTCTCTCCAATTTATCTTTTAGGATGCACCCATCATAAATCTGTTCTACCATTTCTTTACTCATCATTGAGTAAATTACCTAGCTAGGACTAAAATAATACAAAATTGCAAAATTAGGACCTCAATGTTTTGTAGAGTTTCGTAGGAGTAAAAGATAAGGGGTTGACAAATTTACCCTTAATGATAACTTGAATTCCTTATACGGAGAAAGTAATTTAAAACAAAACAATTATACAAAAGAGAACAACAAACAATTAAATCCACTACACACACCTATTATCTTTGGCAGCTCACGAACAATTAAATCAACAAACATATTCATACCTGAAATATGAATATGGAATTTCCAGTGCTATATGAATTTGGATAACAGTTCCTTGAGATGATCCCAACCCTTAGAGTTTCTTCAGTGAGTTTCTCAATTATAGTCCCTTTCTGGAGAAGCAAATTATTAAGAAAGGCATGAAGACACAGTAAAAACTACTTAGAAATCCAAACTTACCTCTGGATCATCAAGAAGTTAGAGGAGAAGTATCTGAGCTGAGGAAGTCTCTAAACACTTCATTGTATATTTCCGTTGTAGAGAACTTTAACACAGATGCTCTTTCCTCATGCTGGTAGAAAGAAATAATGTTAATGAGCAGAAAATTCATATTAGATCACAAGTAGAAAAAGCACATGTTCATGAAAGACATTGAAAGAGATAATGATAGCAATAAAAATATCAATAGTAATAACAATAGTAACAACAAAAATAATAACAATAACTTACAGTTAATTCCCTTCACACCCGAAAGAACAATATCCTTCATTCCTGCCTCATACACTTCTCTTGCTAAACACTCAACCCTAAATACTCTATCTATCTCAAAAAGGAATACATAATGACAAATTAACTATGTGATTGTTTTAACAGAGAGAAAAATGTGATTGTTTTAGAATAAAAACTA